GCGGCCTGGTCTGGACGGCCAACTTCGTGGCCTACCGCTGCCGGACGTGCGGCATCTCCCCTTGCATGTCGCTGTGCGCCGAGTGCTTCCACCAGGGCGACCACACCGGACACGACTTCAACATGTTCCGCAGCCAGGCCGGGGGCGCCTGCGACTGCGGGGACAGCAACGTGATGCGGGAGAGTGGGTGAGTGGAGCCCTCCCACAGGGCGAGGCGACCCTGGGGGTTGGGATGGGGGGGCGCCGCGGGCGGCCGGGGCCGGGGTCTGGGAAGCCCTGGGCTGGGACTTGGAGCTCACCCCGAGCTGTCAAGGGAAGGGTGTGGGGGAGGGTGCAGCCACATGGGATGGAGGTGACTGAGCTGTCAGCGGTGGAAAGGGGATGAGGAGGAGGGGAGAGCAGAGAGCATGCTTAGGGACCGAGCTGTGCATTTTCGGGGTAGCCAGGTGGCTATGTGACAGGGAGAAAAGAGCCCGTGTATGGGGTAGCAGGAGAGTGAGGAGGACAGGGTATTTGGGGCATCTGGTGTCGAGCTGCCAATTGAGGACATGTTGGGAAAGGCTGTAAAGCTTGCCTGGTTCTTGGGAAGAGACCTAGGCAGTGATTTGTATTGGCTGCGGGGGGGAAGGGGAGGGGGTGATACTGGAGACCGAATTAGCTCGCGGGCTGATGGGAGTGGTGGTCTTCTAACTGCAGGGAAGGACGCGTTGGGAGAAGGGCTTCTGAACTGTCAGTGTGTCTGTCAGCGTGAGGGAGCTCTTGAGCTGATGGGGGTTGAGGGAGGAGGGAAGGGGAGGGGCCTACATGAAAAGTGACTGTTGTGCTGTCAGTGGGGTATTTGGTGTGCTGGAATGACATCTGAATTGGGCTACTGAGCAGTCGGTTATAGAATACCCTCCATACCAGAAGAACAAACAAAACACTGGGCGAACTAGGAATCAAGTGTCAGGTCTTCCCCAGTTAGGGGCGTTTTGTTCACTGACTGATCTGGGAGTATCTTTCTAAGAGGAGACAACGAATGCGTTTTTTGACAGATGTGATGCACCAGATGTTGGGACTTAAGAGAAAAGACAGCATTTCAGAATTTGCAGTGAGTCATAGGCGGTACATTTAGGGTCTTGGCTTGGGGCATGATGTCAGTGTTAGGGACAGCCCTGAGAAAACAAGAAAACTTAGTGAAGAGGGGTTATTTTGGCTGGGTAGTAGTTTAATAAATCCAGTTATTCTACTTTTCCAATTTTCAGTTCTTATAATTAGTGATAGAGTACAATCTTTTAAGAAATGGTCACCTTTTTCTTTTTTGGAGTATTTGCAGGTTACTGTTACTCCCAAATGTTTGTACCTACTATATACAAGCAATATTAAAAATAAATGAGACATTTGACCAACCTCTTAATCCATGTACACTAGGGTAGAAAGTAATAAATTCCTTAAATGTAGTTTGGGAGTTAAAGGAGGGAGAGGAGGCTTCTGTGCATAGGGAGTAAGCAAAAGGCTTCAGAAAGGAGGTATTTTGAACTTGCTAATAATAACATAATTCCACCAGGAATTATGTTAACATTTGAGATCATGAACATTTGAGATCCTGACACTTTATTTTAATCTGTTTTATTAAAAACCGTCAAATTCTGTTTTATATGATTTAACTCATTTTATTCACCTCTCAGATTGTTATTTTTATTATTTTCATTGTACAGGAGAGGAAAGTGAGGGACAGATTTGAAGAACTTGCTCAAGGCCGGGCTCGGTGGCTCAGCCTGTAATCCCAGCACTTTGGGAGGCTGAGGTGAGTGGATTGCCTGAGCCCGTAGGTTTGAGACCAGTCTGGGCAACTTGGCGAGACCTCGTCTCTACAATTAAAAAAAAAAAAAAAAGCCAGCATGGTAGTGCATGCCTGTAGTTCTGGCTACTTGGAAGGCTGAGGTGGAAGGATCGCCAGAGCCTAGCAGGTCGATGAGCGTGCTACTGCACTCCAGTCTGGGTGATAGAGTGAGAATCCAACTCAAAAACAAACAAACAAAAAACTTGCTCAAGAGTAAGCTAGACATACTGGCTACAGAGCCTGAGCACTCAACCACTTGTCTCTACTACCTCTACTAAATAGTATTTTTATTGATTCTTCTCTTCATACTGTGTTCTCTCTTTCTGTCTTTTAATATGCCATTCTTATTTAGACCTTTTAAAAAAAAATTTAAGAAAGACATCAAAACAGGAGTTAGAGCAATCCTTTACTGATATTTAGACATTTTTACTTTTTGGACTAGGTTAGCATTTAGGAAATGCCCACAAAGAACATGAAAGTAGGAAGTAACATTTGTTCTTCTCTGACTTTTGGAATCTTGTGGTAATTATCAGGTTGTCCTGGATGAGGTACAAGTCTTATGATGTTTCAGTGCAATAGCAGAAATATGTCAGTGAGTTTCTTTGAAGATACTCATACAGATTTAGGACACCCAGGTTAGATAGTCAACATTCTGGTCTCATGGCATTTACCTTTACTGTCGTCTTATAGATACATATTATTCCCCCAGTCTGGCAACCCTCTATGAGTTGATATATAATATTTAAGATTTATTATTATCTCTATCAGAAACCTGCATGTGTCAGCAGTTACCATGTCCAATTTCATAAAGGGCAATATTGAACAATAAACACTATTGCGGCCATGTGCTTATTCTGAAATTTTTATGACTTCTTGGGATGGGTAGAATAATTTTTCTGGGCTAACCAACTAATTTACTGCCTAGAGACATAGATGATGTTGACTAGCTGTACAGGCTAAAAGGCTGCCTCTGGAACCTTTCTAGAAGTGGAAATAATCAACAAATTAAAACAGTGTTCCTGGTGGGCAAAGCTGGGCTACCCTGGCACTGAGAGAATATATTTACCTTTTCTCAGTTTTTGGTATTTCAAATATCTATTTAGGTTGCTAAAGATTGAAGATGTGTTGAATTTGGGGTTGGTTATTCTAACTGCCATAAAAGTTTGTAAATTCCATTGTTTAGTCACTTTTAAAGGAAAGATTCCAGTTTTCCCTGTATCTGGGTTCTTAGGAAAAGAGAATAAATCCTGCTATGCCTTAATCCTTCCACAAGTGTCTGATTGTTATGGGTAGAATGTTGTGTGATTGGAGGTGGGAAGAATCTTGAATCCATCACAATTGTATTTGTATTTAATTTTCAAGTTTATAGTGAACATGGAAAGGATTCAGTTATTTTTGACTTAGGTTGTATTGATATTATCAATGTGATGATATTGACAAATATGCAACCCAAGGGAATAAAACAATTGAGTATTCATTTGTGGAATGAGCTCACAAAGGCTATGGAAGCTGTACTAATAATTGTATGTATAACTACATAGTTTTGCTACTAGTGAATAAGTGTGATCATTGTTACAAATGGTAGGTGGATGGATGAACTCAAAACAAAATGAAACAAAACAAGACAAATAGCATGTAATAGAAAACCTCAAGTTTACTCATCCCTCAGTATATGGTATACATAGGGGATTAGTTCTGAAACACCTCTCCCCAGTGTATTCCAAAATCCCACTTATATGAATACTGTGCCTTTTGTTTATGTGGGTCTTAGAGTCCATGAATATTGTATTTTTCTATCCATGTTTGGTTGAAAAAAAAAATCTGCATTTAAGTGGACCCTCACAATTCAAACCAGTGTTGTTCAAGGATCAACTATAATGTCTAACTGGTTTTGGGTTCTGATGGGGCACTAACAAGACATTGGGATTTTAAATATTTAGTTCTGAAATTTTGATGCAGAGGATGACTATTTTCATGTTCTATTCTGTATTATAGATTTTTTTTTGCCTTCTTGCTTGTTCTTCCTTACATATTCTAAGCTCCTTAAAAAAAATAGGGACCTCATCTTGCTATTAGCCAGAGGCTAGCAAAGAATCTCTTGCATTTATAGGTGCTTAGTAATGTTGAATTAAATTGAATAAAAAAGTGGCCATAAGATTACATTGCTTTGGTTATTCAAGAGGTGACATTGATTACTAAATTCATAGCAGTATTTTCAGAGTCTCTTCTTTTTTCAGTTTTAAAAGTAATATGTATTGGTTATAACAAAAAAAGTGGGTAAGGTAAAAAGTAAAGGTTCCTTTCTCCATCTGATTCCTTAGTGAGAGATTTCCCTTTCTTTTGAACTTAGATATGCATTTAAAAGGTGTTATTTATTTATTTAGCATTTCTAGTTGTTTTGTTGTGGAAGATATTTAAGTTACTTTGTTTGTGACAGTGCCAGAAAAGGAAGTCTGTGAACTGTGTGGTTGAGGTTGAATAGTGTTATTCTCTCAGTACCTTGCTTTCTTTCCTTTAATATATTTATGAACTTTGTCTCATATAAGTACATATAGAACTGTTTCATTTTTTAAAAAAGTTAAACAGTATTGCATTGTATCTTCATATTTTTGCAATGTACTATAATTTATGTAGTCAGTTCCCTACTGATAGACATTTAAATTGTTTCTAGTCTTGGGCTATTGTAAACATTATTGTAGTCATTATTCTTGTATACATTTCTTGGTATATATGTGTGAGCATATGTGTGATGATAAATTCCTAGACGATAAATCTTTTAATTTTAATTATTTTTATCGCTGACTTGAAGCTCAATAAGTTATATATTGGTTAAAGGAAATGTTCATTTTAAGCTTTGCTAAGACTTGCCAAAGAAGTTAATTTACACTCCCACCCCAACAATGTATGAAAGGGTTTGTTTTCCCATATCCTGGCTGATAGATATGGTGTTATCAGTGTTTCTGATCTCTGCTGATTTCATAAGTGAAAAGTGACATCTTGTTTCATCTATTAACTCCCCCACTGTACTGCCCTTTTCTCCCAGTCTGGAGTATTTTGAAGTAAATATCGGATATCTTATAATTTAATTAAAAAATATATGAAGGCTGGTCATGGTGGCTCATGCCTGTAGTCCCAATACTTTGGGAGATGGAGGCAAGAGGATTGCCTGAGCCCAGGGGTTCAAGACCAGCCTGAGCAACTTGGCGAGACCGCATCCACAGTCAATAAAAAAAGTAGCTGGAGGTGATGGTGTGCACCTGTGGTTCCAGCTACCTGGAAGGCTGACACAGAAGGATCATGTGAGCCCAGCAGATCAAGGTTGCGATAGCCATGAGTATGCCACTGTACTACAGCCTGGGTGACAA